ATATATATATATATATATATATATATATATATATATAGAGAGAGAGAGAGAGAGAGAGAGAGAGAGAGAGAGAGAGAGAGAAAAGAAAAAGAAGAAGGAAAGAGAGAGAGAGAAAGAAAGAGAGAAGAAGAAAAAAAAAGAAAAAAAAAGAAAAAGAAGAAGAAGAAAAAGAAAAAGAAAAGGAAAAAGAAAAAGAAGAAGAAGGAGAGCGGGAGGGAGGGAGAGAGAGAGAGAGGGGAGAGAGAGAGAGAGAGAGAGAGAGAGAGAGAGAGAGAGAGAGAGAGAGAGAGAGAGAGAGAGAGAGAGAGAGAGAGAGAGAGAGAGAGAGAGAGAGAGAGAGAGAGGCAGACATAAAGAGAAGCAGACAGAAAAGCCAGAAAGAGAGAAAGGAAGAAAAAAAAGAGAGGCAGAAAGAAAGATAGACAGACAGACAGAAAGAAAGTAAGAAAGAGAGACAGAAAGAAAGAATGAGAGAAGAAAGAAAGAGAGACAGACTGACAGACAGACAGAAAGAAAGAAAGGAAATGAAAGGCAGAAAGAAAGAGAGAAAGAAAAAAAGAGAGACAGACTGACAGACAGAGAGAAAGAAAGAGAGACAGAAAGAAAGAAAGAAAGAAAGAAAGAAAAGTATAAAGAAAGAGAGACAGATAGAAAGAAATAAAGAAAGAAAGGAAGGCAGAAAGAAAGAAAGACAGAAAGAGATACAGGCAGAAAGAATTAAATAAAGAAAGAAAGAGAGAAAGAGAGACAGACTGACAGACAGACAGGAAGAAAGAAAGATAGAAAGAAAGAAAGAACGAGAGACAGACAGGAAGAAAGTAAGAGAGACAGACTGACAGAAAGAAAGAAAGAGGGACAGAAAGAAAAGAAGATAGAAAGGCAGAAAAAAAGGAAGAAAGATAGAAAGAAAGAAAGAAAGAGAGACAGACTGACAGAGAGAAAGAACGAAAGAGAGACTGAAAGAAAAGAAGATAGAAAAGCAGAAAGAAAGAAAGAAAGAGAGACTGAAAGAAAAGAAGATAGAAAAGCAGAAAGAAAGAAAAAAGAGAGACAGACTGACAGATAGAAAGAAAGAAAGAGACAGAAAGAAAGAAAGAAAAAAAGACAAACAGACAGAAAGAAGAGAGTGGCAGACACTGAAGAGAGGCTCCACAGGAAAAGCCACTTACGCCGTGAGGAGCTGGTGGTCAGGAAGCAGACACAGCAGGAACAGCGCCAACTTCGTCAGATGATCGAGTTTTTCAGCATCGATCCTGTCCTCATAAAGTAGATATTAGCATGATGACCTTGCAAAGAATATTTCTATCTTTACATCTGGCACTTAGGGCATTACCATATAGTTGAACTTGCGCAAGTGATCGCGCGGAAATGTACACGCTGATCCGATAGTGTGCATAACGAGGCGCAATTTGACAGCAAGTTGGGAAGGAGTCAGGGTGGCAGTACACCTGGCAGTTATTGTAACACTATAACTGTTCATCGCATGATTATACAAAAAATATGCATGTAAATAAATAGTAATACCTTCTCACACAAGTGAAATTAGCACACTATAGGCAATACCTTTCCAATGTGGCACAAAGATTGGCCAAAATGCCGCAAGCAATCCGGAGTATGATGAGGATGCCCGCCCATGCGTTGAGGTTGAGACCTGCATGCACGACACCCCACTCGCGGGCGTGCTGGAACAACAAGACGATGAACCCGATATCTGTAGCAATGTCAAACACGTAGATCCCGACGCTGAGGAAAGGGAACACATGGCACAGACCCATTTGGGACACCCGCGAGGCGACGCCGCTGTCTGCCCGGTCCTCCTCTCCCGCCGCAGGCCCCGAGGGCGCGTTCAGCGACACCGGATCGTAATTTGAGTCCTCCATTCGACTAGGGCGGTACAGAGGGTGCTTACGAGTGGGTTAACAATTTGGTATAGGCTGAACGAAGCTGCATGTTATATCTTATCGTTATCACTGATAAGGTTAACTCGCGGAAGTTGATAAACTTTCACATTGGTATTTACTACAATCATAAATTGGATGATGTGGGTGGGGGCGATATCATCTAATGCTTCATTATGTCTATCAACATTTCATAGGTTGCCATTTGGAGTAAAATAACAGACGTCACATTCAGGTAAAAGTAGCCAATGACAGTCACGTCCCTTCTTGAATGAATGCGAAGGGGAAGGACCGCGGGAAGCTTGAGTCGGAAGCATTACCACAACTTCACCCCGGCCAGACACGCACACGCCCCCGGCTTGGCTTGGGGCTCACTTTGTAGATCAGAATTTTTACCATCATAAAGTTGTTAAGACCTGCATACTTTATAAATTCAGTAAGGTTGAATTTGTTAACAAATATATTTGACGGACTGTTAGTAGTTCCAATTAAAAGTATGTAAACGTGCATATGATTATATATATATATATATATATATATATATATATATATATATATATATATATATATATATATATATGTGTGTGTGTGTGTGTGTGTGT